AATCAATGTTCTTTCTTCTGTATGCATGGAATTTCAGTTTCGTTATCACCCTATTAAAGCTGCTTTCAAACAAAAGCATCCGAACAAAAGATAAATTCGCATTAAGTAATAAAGTTAAAACTACACTTAGTTTTACTGTCCCAGTTAAGCCCGTAATTGCTGCCCAATAAAAATAAATTTACCACTATAGTCAGGCAGCATTTACAAATGTTAAAGTAGGTAAACTTTACGGGCTGGTATAAAACAGAGCGGTAGTTACTTAAAAAAAAACAACAAGCGAACATTTAATGCTGCTTGCACATACCTATTTATCCTCTGAAAGAACATTTACACATGCTAATGCACCCAAACAGAAGAAGAGCATGTAATTCCTCAATTATTATTCCACATGCTTGTACCAGTATTGCGGTAAAGCTACTGAATATACATATATTACTATGATAAAAACAATGAGCAGGTACTTATAAGCCGACTGGATATGAATATATAAAATATATTCAGTCCATCTGAATACTTTGTTCAAATAATTTTCGTGATTATATGATTCCTGAATACAAAATTCAAAGAGTACTCGAATTCATAATACTTATGTTGAAATATTCACATTATACGAATACACAATGTTCCTTCAAAAGAAACTCATTTCATTATTGAACAGTAATAATCCTTTACTTCTAGAAAAGATCCCTGCTGATTGTGATTGCGAATAAGATATTTCTTTTGATGATTCTAATAATTTGGTTCTAAAAATTTTAGGATTAAAATGCCTTCCATTATCTGATCAATTTTCATGTATTATCATTCGCTGCTGTTATTTATCTTATATTTATTAGTTCTTATGGCAATGTTGTAGTTTCACTTGGTTGCACCAAATCAAAAGCAGCTTCGTTGAAACGGATTTGCCTTTCACATCTTGAAGTGTGCGCCGCTGTTCTTCTTTAGCTGAATTCTTTCTAAAAGTATATTTTGGAAAATTTAATTTCAATAATATTTTATATGTTCTGATTCATAGGTGGCATTATCCTGGGTAAAATCATCTTCACACCGTTGGAAAACTTTTGTTAGTAACCGTGCAAGCCACATTCAAGAAAGGACTGCTCCAACCGCTTGGCGCCATGTATGCTCTGCGGAAAACCCTGCAGATTGTGCATCGCGAGGCCTTATACCAAAAGAATTAGTGGAATATATGTTATGGTGGATGAAGCCTTCCTGATTCAAAGTTTTGTCCTTTGGCCAGTGAGCGAAGTAGATGATCTATCATCCTCTATCCTTGACAAAGAATGAAAGTTAACTCTAGCTACCGTAATTGATATTGAGCCATTTCTTTAAATCTTAGAAAGATATTTCCTCGGACATTTTCTTACCTTGGAACTGTTAAGGGTATTACCAATTTGAAATTAAATACTTTGAGTAGATGACAGCTTCTACAACGGTTACATCAAAATTTTTGTAATCGATGTCAATAAGAATACCTTCATACTTTAATTCAAAGAAATAAATAGAACGAACATAGTTTATCAATTCTACTTGGCACCTTAGTACTAAATAATGAAGATACTGTTTCCCAATTAAATTAGCGACTTGGTCCCGTAGCAAACTTTTACCCCAGGAGGGATTTTCCGCTTGGTAACTATTCGTGTTGACAAAGGGATCATACAAATACATCTTTTTAAGCTCTGTCCGTTGCCTAATCAGCAAAAATAAAATACAAACACTTATATTGGTGGGTAGTATGTTGCTTTTGCACACGCAAACTAATTAGTATTAAGTAATTTTAATTTATTTTTTTATGTCCTAAGTATTACCGCAGGTGACACTTCGAAAACAGACTGGAGCAGGTACATAAAATGTTGATAAGTGATTATGCTAACAATTCCAAACTCTGAAGAAGACTGATTACATTCAACGAAGTTCCTATCCAGAGCACCAACAGAGCTGCAACTGTAATCGGCTGCAATCACATCTTGCTATCCAATTCGATATTTATTTTTGGCTCATTATCTCACAATACAGTCCGATTTCTGTTGTCATGCTAGTTTAAAGTTGAATAAAAGACTTTAAGTGGTTTTCCCAGATTAAAAACTGTTTCTTTTTTAATTTTTGATGTAGCATTCACAATAAACTTGATTTAGTTTTGCGTTATCCTATAAAGAAGAAATGCTTGTATCAATTAAAATTTACCAAAAAAAAAACTAAACATTTAGATTAACAAAATAAATCATCAAATAGAATAATATAGCTTAAACTTCAGTTTGACACAACATTCTGTCTTCATATTCAGAAATACCGTACCTCTGCTTAAGGTTGTTCCTAGAAGTGAAAAAGAAGTTTCATTTCATACAATTATTCAGTTTGATGCAATAGTAGTTTCATTTTTATCTACCGTCTTATCAAACTCAATAAGCAATGAAATGGTACATGAAAAGGTTGGTTCCACTTCAAGCAACAACCTTAAGGGGAAGTATAATAAGATACTAGTGCTGACCAAAAGTACTAGATTCGGACAACACCTTTCTATCTCTTCAAACATCTAGTGGCTTTAGTAACACAATTTTACGTTGATTTACTTATAAGAACCGCTAACATTTTTTGAAAATTGGGGAAAATAATATTATATCATTGTATTTTTCAATTTACTTAAGTCAAGTCAAGTAGTAACATTAGTAAAATTATTCGAATTTAAAAAAAACTTGACTTCAAGACGAGCAGTTTCTGAAAATATTCAGCTGTTTAACTTGATAAATCCTTAGAAAAGATCTGTCTCAAGTCGTAAGAGTAGATAATCTTCAGTGTCCATTATTTATTTTTTTTTTACCATAAATAGAGTAAATCATGTTTGTACATAATAAAAATATGAAAAAAAAAGAATAAAAGAAGGAACAGGACCATCCCGACTTCAAATTACATTTTGAACGTAAAATGGAAGATCTTCCCTAGTGTTATGCGATAAAAAAATTGATTTAATTTTTTGCTATTCATGATTGTGGCACTCTGTTTAAAACGCACTGTATAAACTAGACCGGATAAATCACGGAATCTTCAAAATAAATATTTATAGACCGATACTGTATTCTCAATTGTTTTATCATGTAAGATCTTTCATACTCACAAACGAAATGATACGTTGTATTTGGTAACTTTCAACAGGACAAGTAGTCTCTGGTACTTGAGTTATACAAAACAAGCAATCGAGTAATCAAAAATCATTTGTTTTTTTTATTAAACTAGAATGTAGTACCTAGATAAATAAAACGTAAATAAAGTGATTATATATAAAGATATACAGGGTGATTCAGAACTTATCCAGAAGAAAAATTCTGGATGTACAGGGGACCCTCACAAATGCAATTTTACAAAGAAAAAATCAAAAAGAGCAGTTCGAAAATGATTTAAAAATACACTTCTGCACGGCACTGGAAACTGGTCCACTGTAAAACCTGACCTCCCACAATACGACCGGCATGGCGGTGTGATAAAAACGGACAAAAACTTTCGCAAGGAAAGAAATATGTAAATAGAATTTTATCGCACCTATTTTATAACGGCAAATTTAACTGCTTTTGCCTTTATTAATTAATAAAATTAATTTGTGTTTCTACGAACTAACACAAATGTTGCTTCACCGTAACACAAATGCTTCACCATAAATTAAAACGATATCCATGAACTCCGAGTTGCTATACACGCAAACCATTTTTGATACTAACTACCCACTTTTGACACTAACTACCAAAAAACTATTGTAAACACCACAGATAACAGGTAAATACTATCGCAACGACGATTGCAAAATCCGATTTCAGTATTCAGAGTCGCTGAGACTACGTGGCTCTCCACGCGCATTACGAATGACGCTAGAGACTACAGTTGTCCAGCGATGTAATGCTTGAAAGTACTACCAGCTATGTAGTGGTTGAATGTACTATAACTTCAATAATTTTCTTCTCGGAAACTATAAGGATTTTACAAAATTATTTTTTACGATATTGACTCCATTTCTCATGCCGCATCTATTCCCAAATTTTTTTGGATAAGTTGTAAATCCCATATGTTACCAAGTAAAATTCAAAATTTATTAGCATTCCTGGTTAATAATACCTATGATATGAATTTATAAAGCGCTATGTATATGTATTTAAATTTGTACAAAGGTTTATATTTTGTTAAATTAATTTTTTGTCGAAATGGCAATTGAAAATTGTTAAAGCAAAAATGTTTTATACTCACTTATAATAGTACATATAATAATAGAAGTATTTGTATGGATGAAGAAATAGCTTCTTCACTGCTACCAGATTGACTTGTTTTATTTGAATTTCACATTCCTCTAGTAGTGTTCTCCTGGCACCCGACACCAATACAATTTTAAATCAATTTTCTATTAAGGATTTAATTAATCATTTCTTTCTTCTCACTGTAGCCAGATTTGTATCCAAAACAACGCTGGCATTCAAATACCGGGAAGATATAACGTACAATGAGAAAAGTAATGAAAAACTACTGCCTGATTATGATTTAAATGACGCATTGTAGTTTTACGATCTTCGAAATCAATTAATAGTTATTGTTACTCAAAATCTTCCCTGATTACTTATCAAATTAATAGTAGTGTTGCAATGTTACAAGGAACAAAATGAAAAGCATTGAGTGGAACAATATTCAAAATATAAATATTGGTCTTGGGTTGCAGTTTCTGTAAATTTACTTAAAGTGGTTGTATTTAATGTAGCTTCCCAGAATCTAATTGTATGGACAAAAAAGTAAACAAGTAAATTCGCAAAAATGAAGACAGATGTTTCACTACTTTGAAAAGCTTATTACTATAATACTTAGGTAATTTTCATCTCCTACAAACATATGTGCGTCACAACAGGTTGTAGATATTATCGCTGATAAGTGACTCTTTTATAATTATTTATTTAGATTAAGAAATTTCAAGTATAAGATATATATTCTGGGAAAATTTAGATAATTTGGTGATATATAAAAGAGAAACATATAATAAAATCAGTGCCCATTTAGTGCTGTTGCAAAATAGTATCGGCAATATGAAGTTTGTACTTGCTCTTATCGGTTTGGTGTTGGCCTGCTCAGTCGACATTTCCGTATCAAAAGATGCGGCTCTAGAAACTGTCAGCAAACACGGCCAATTATCTGTGAAGGGTGTAGACATTGTCGATGAAAATGGAGAGAAGGTTCAACTGAAGGGAATGTCTCTATTCTGGGATGTATGGATGCCTCAATACTACAACAAGGAATCCATCGACGGAATCCACGACCTGTGCCACTCCAACGTTGTACGCGCAGCTATGTCTGTAGTAACCGAAGAAGACGGAGGATATATTGAAACCCCTGAAGACACTCTAGAAAGGTTGTTCGCTGTCATTGACGCAGCAATTGAAGATGATATTTACGTAATCGTAGATTGGCACGATCATCAAGCTGATCTCCATTTGAACTACTCTCTAGAATTCTTCGATATCGTGTCTAAGAAATACACTGGTGTGCCAAACATCATTTACGAAACTTTCAATGAACCCACTGGACAGTCATGGAATGATGTTCTTAAACCTTATCACGAAGCCGTCATCCAAGTCATTCGTGCTAATGATCCAGACAATATCATCGTTTTAGGTACCCCAACTTGGTCTCAATCTGTCGACCAAGCTGCCGCCAATCCCATCACAGGTCAGAAGAACATCATGTACACCCTCCACTTTTATGCTGGTACCCACAAACAGTGGTTGAGAGATACCGCCACCAATGCTTTGAACAATGGTATCCCCATCTTCGTAACTGAATACGGTACAGTAAACGCTGATGCCAGCGACCCCATTGACGAAGCTGAATCTCGTTTGTGGTGGAACTGGCTCGACGAGCACAACATTTCCTATGCTAACTGGGCCATCTCCGACAAAATTGAAGGCGCTTCCGCTTTGGTACCTAATGCTACCTCTGCTGAGGTCTGCCAAGAAGAATTCCTTACTGATTCTGGAAAACTCGTAGTTGCACAAAACAAGGCTTAAGTACATATATTTTGAAATAAAGTTTGTTAGTATTTACAATATATCTTATTTTTCCCGTCATTAGACTATCAATTTCTTATTTCATTTCACGGTAAGACGAAATGGGTTATTATAGATTATTTAAAACTAAAAGTATAGCATTAAAATAAATTGTTGAAAAGTTAATAAGTTTAAAATGATTTTTGTAGTGTGAACTAGAATGTTGAAAATATTCAGATAAAAACAAATATTCGCGAAATGCAAAAAATGATATTTGCTATTTGTAATATTATTATGTAAATTGTCTCATTCTTAAATGTCATTACTTCTTAATACCTACTGGTATAAAAATATTGCTTGCTACTGCTATAGGATATATTCCACATCAAAAACATATATGTAGATCATTTAACAAACGTCTTCTTCTTAAGAAAAAAATGCAACCAGCCCACAGCCATTGAAAATTGACATGGAATTCTATAAACCACCTTAAATTTCCATTATTCTCTGAAATTGATATGTATTTTTCAACTTTAAATACGTATACATATAATTTATGCCTAGTTATTTATCAGATTGAGATTCGGTAATCCAAAAAACAATCAGAGAAACATATAAACACTCAACTTCGTGCGTAATAGTGAAGTCCCTCTTAGCTATCACTAAATTTGTATGTGTGAAAGGACTGCGATTTAGTTCCTCAACCAGACGTTGTGTAATAGCGTCTTATCTGCTGATTCGAGAAATGTTGAAAAGTATTCTCGCGTACTTGTGCCTGGAATTAAATGAATGAATGTATTATTTGAACAGAATATAATGGGAAAATATATTTTTTTTTAAATTAAATGTTACTAATTAATATTTTTAACGTCGTTTCATAACACGTTTTAACATTTTCTATATTAAGAAAATCCAGTCCTTTAATTATATTTTTTTTGTTTTTTTCTTGGTCAATTTCTCTAGACAATTTGGGTATGAAATGAAAAAAGGACCGACTTTAATTAAGAAATAAAACGGGATGGTATAATTACTTACTGAGTTGTAACAGAATATCTTCCTGTTCCTCTTGCAACCCTTGACGCTGAACGAATGACCCGAAATTACGACTTCCATCAAACAGCCAACATAAAAAATTAATTAAACCGGGGTGGCTAATTTTTATGCTGCAGCCGAACATAATTTAAGGATAATAAAGACAACAGCAGATGAGAAAAGTTTTCATGTACCGGATAGAGAAATAAACAGGTAGTAAAGTATACCGTTTACAATGTTAGCAAAAGCAAATGGATGTGTATTCCTATAACAGATTTTAAATTTATTTAAGTATTTATTAATTTATCTAAATACAAATACACTGCCCAGATTAGACAATTCTAAATGTAGAACAGGACATTTAACGTCCTAAACTTAATATTACGGACATTAATATTAAACAAATCAAAAAGCATCTGAAGCAGTATATAATTTAGACACATAGTATAAGTTAGTTAATATTGATGGCCATTACATTGCGGAAGAGAATAAATAAATAATGTACAAGGCAGAAAATGCAAGGATAAGAAAGAAAACGGTAAGTTCTACGTAAAGTCAGATCATTCGTATTAAATTTACTGATATAATCTGATCAAGAAATACCTCTTCAAAGATAAATATTATCGAGCATAAAGGAAATAAATTCCTTTTTCTAGATGTTCTCAATAACTAATATATATTGGTAATTGTATAATAGAGCAACTGTAGAAAGTTTTTTAAGAAGTTTTTTTAATAAAGCCAGTTCTTATATTAACATTAGATACGTAAAAGTTAATTTAAAGTAAAAAATTTTCCCAAATCTGTAGATTCAGTGCTGCGCGCCACAAGTTCTATTACTTCTACTCATGTTACATATTTATGTAAGCAGTATATTTAGTTTTGCATGTGTGGCCCTAATGTAAAACCTTGTTATTAACAGCTTATTATTTTGATGTCACTCAATAATCCTAGTAAAATATTCTTCATCAGAACGTACACTAACAGCTTGAAAATAGCTGCATTTGAAGAAGCGTTGAAGATTTCCACAAATGTTATTAACAGTCACATTAAATAAAAAAATAATGGGTTAAAAAGTGAACCCTGGGAAATCACGGAGGTAACAATAATTTTATTTGATACAAAACTACAACACTGAATTTTCAGTGATTTATTAAATTCAAACAATTTTTGCCCTTCCTGTCACATTCTGGTAAAAGCAGATGCACATAACGTCTCTTTTATGAGTAGATTAATCGATTACGCTAACTAGTGTTTACATTGAAGCTATTTCAATAGCCAATTCTTTTATTATGAAAAAGATTGATGATGTGATCTTTTGTAAATTGTATCATCTACATATATTATGCTTCATTCATTATTACATAAACTGAAGGCAGTTATTGATAATGAAACTAATGTCTACTTCTCATTTTAACTGCAAGGGTTCTCTCAGAACCCCACATTTTAGTAAAACAAAATGCTAAAAGCAAAAGGAAAATCGTGTTATTTAATTGAATGCCACATCATTTTGACAATATTCATAGAAACGTAGAAACATATTTTATTTTCCAGGTAGGGATGTATTGGAAACTAATTCCTATTTATTTAAGAGGGGAAGCCACATTAGGAGCTTTAAAAAATCGAGTTTTTTTATTCCATAAATTGTTAATATAACTATTCAAGAATACTCTGCAAAAATTTAAAAATGAAATTTTTATTCATTCGTATTTATGAGCATAAAACCGAACGCCCATCGGGTCAGCGATCGGGCGCACAACATGTAGAGCAGAACACTTCTTCAGGTAGTCATTTATTAAGCAAGAAAAAACAGATGCAAGGTCAGAAGAATATCTATGAGGAAGAAGAAGGACTGTCATATGATGCTAGAATTGCTGATTGGTCGGCGGGAATTGATTACTATTCCACATTTCTAGTTTTCGGAAATTGTCAAACTCGTTTTCCTCGAAACGGCGTTTTTTTATTCACGGCAACTCTAGCTCAGAAAGTTATGAATCGATCGTGATGAAAATTGAAAGTGTGTTTCTTTATAAAATTACAAAGAACATGAACCAACAATTGGGATGATATCATAATTTTAAGGCTGTTTTTTATTCAAAATAAGTGAAAAAATAGTGGAATCTGGAATACAAGGGAGGGTAGCTTTTAAAGCTACAGCATTTAGGCCCCATTGGGCTCCTTGTACCTCCTCCCATTAGGAGATCAATCCACCTGAGCCGTTAACCAACCTATTACAGAGAAAAATATAGGCTATAGAAGGCCAGCGCTCTCCCAACATGGATTCTCTTGTTAACGAAACGGCAGTACAATCGCATAGCACGTGTGTATTCCTGTTTCGTCTTCCTATTCACAGCCCATACAAAGAAATTTTTACACTTTCTCATAGCATTTCCTTAGCCAGTAGTGTCCAATTTGAATACCTGTCACCAGGCGAAGATTTGGCCTGGACATGACCAGGTATTTTTGGCTGTATCCTTGCTAGGATATTTCTAAGAACTCCTTAGTGAAATGACAGCTATTTATTTCATCCCACCGTTTCATAAATTCTTTGTGGGTGTTTTCCTTAATAATTTCAGCGAGTGCTGACAGCGGAAGCACACTGGAGGGATCGGGTCCAAAAATATTGAGGCCCGATGCACTCCTGCCTAGCTTGTCAGCTTCTTTATTGCCATTGCACCGCTCGTGTCTCTTAACCATACATAGCATACAGCTATGTTGTTGCAAGTTGAGGCCACGACCAGTGCTTGGTGGCATTCCCATACTAACCTAATATAATCTAATCTAATCTAATATAATCTAATTATCTTAGGATTACGTAAGATCAGTAGTACTTGTCTACTATCTGTGTAGATTCTCTTGATTTTACCCGTAGTGTGCCTGCGGGCGATTTCTTTAGCGGCTATAGTTATACCTGCTAATTCCGTTTGTACCTCGGTAGCATGGCTATCCATTGCCCACTGATATCGGATATGCAAGTATCTGGGATATATTCCATATCCTGCACCTTTCTTTCTTTTTGATCCGTCTGTAAAGGCTTCTCGACATCCTTCATCCGGTTTGAAACCAATGTTCTTGAGGCGAAGCATGGTTGTCAAGGCCAGTTCTCTTACATAGATATCCAGAGGTGGCAGACACAGCATTACCTCTATTGCTATTTTGGGTATTGTTCGCATAGCTTCAGTTATGCTCAGACAGGCAATTCATTGTACTTGGCTGAGCTTTTGTTTACCTGCCGTCTGCTAGGATTTCGGCCACATTGGTCTCACGATGGCAGTGTATATCCACATAACCACTTTTGGTTTCATTCCCCAGGCTTTACCAACAGGTCTACGGCACTGCTCATAGGATATGTACGCCTTTTTTAATCTTCTTTCAAAATAAAGGTTCCATGTTAGCTTTGCATAGATTGTAACCCCTAGGTATTTCACATCGAATGCAAGGCTGAAAAAAAAAATAGTGAAAAATCTATACATTTTCTTCAAACACGTGTCAAAACTTCAATTTTTACAATTTTTACACCCACTGGGGTTCATATTCTTAGAAAACATTGCAGGATAAAAACCATTTCGCTTTCAAATCAAAATTGCGACGTACATATTTCCCATGAACAACCAACGAGAACAACCTTGTTATGGACAACAGCCCATAACATGAAAAAATTTGTAAATGTAGTTCAAAATAATATCAAAGTTTGATCAAATTCTAATCAATTTGTCCTACTCAAAAAAATTCATGAAAAACGCCTGAAAATTAGCCTCCTTAGAGCAAACAAAACCAAACCATAATATAATAAAATCAATGACGAAATTGGTAATATTATAGGCACTGATCGAAATTTTAAGCCCTTCTTGATGCTGCTGGGAAATTCTTTTGTCCTGCGAAGATACTTCATTGGATATGAAATAAGTAATCGTAGATACCTCAGCAGATCCAGATGACGATAACAAATTGGCTGTTTCGCTTTGACTGGCTTTTTGGTTTTTAACAGATTTACGCAAATCAGTATATTTTTTAACCATTTTGACCAAACGTGATTGTGTAATTATAAAAGA